AAAAAATTATGAATTTCAGAATATTTCTCTGAAATTCAGAATGTATTTCGAAAATACTTATTTCTTTAGGAGTTCATCGACTTCAACTTTTAGTTTAGGACATTTAGTCTTTACAAATTCATTCCTGCTGATCCAATCGAGATAGTTGGGATCAATAGCTTCTATCTGCTTAATCGTTTTGTATTTGTACTTTCCCCACGTCATCAGGAAAGATCCATCACTCTTACCAAAAGTATCGATTAGAAACTTACCAATATCACTAGCAGAATCAACAAGCCCTTTTTGATTCGATAACCAGCGACAATATCCAGGGTCCGAGGCATATACCTCTTGAATAGTCTTTGCCTTGTGCTTACCAAACGTCAATGTTGCCATATTTAGCTATATATCTACCCAGATACATCTCCAAAGAAATTAAATAAATTATTGGATGGACTTACAAAGATATGAATGGATAATGAATCAGTTCTAGCATGTCAATCAACACAGTGTGCATCCATTCAAACTCATGCCTTTCATACAACATCTAGATACCCTCTGGTGTTTTAGTCAGTTCTATGGACCTCGCCAGTGAGACGATCGATCTCGAGCTCCCTCTCGTATACAACGAGTACAAGGAGGTTCATACCAGTCGCTGAGCCGTTAATACCGCTGATCTGGATCGCTTGAGGAACATCCTTCTGTGAAAGACGCGAACAGTCAGCAACAAGAATGCGCTGAGCCATCGACCACTGCATCGAATCGACCAGTCCATTGCTAACCTCGCTCGACAAGTCGCCGTTAATAGCTCCGAGTTTACTGAACTCATCACAGAATGTCTCGTAATCGTATTCATGAGAACTGCTGAATACATTGTCGTTTCCAAGTTGAACCTGGAAATCCCGAATTGAAGCACCAGGCATGCAAGTCCAGGGCGCCGAATCGAATGGAGACTGATACTGAGGCGTTCCATGAGCGATTTCGAAATGTCCTGCACTCGTTTCAGCAAATGGAATCAGAGCAACGTATTTCACATTTTTCTTATACCCAGATACCTGTAAAGCAAATGGGGCATTCAGCTGACCCGTAGGCACCGTAGGGCTAATACCAGCTACTTTCGTAAACATCTGTGCAAAGCAATCTTGGTATCGAATAGTCTTCAATGGCTTTTGAATGATACTAGTAGAATTCTTGAGATGATAAAACGGGATATATAGTCGAGATGTTGTATACGGGAAGTACTCTCCACTTTGACTAGTTGGAGTAAATGCATTACCAAGAGGACCAAACGAAAACGATAGCTTAGCACTGGCTTGAAGCAATCCTTCGTTTGCATTTCCGCTCGCTGCACTTGCGATCATGATTGGACAAGTTTGACCGCTCGTCATCGTTGTTGACTCGAGCCGCATCGTAGTAGATGTACCAGAAATTTCAACAGTACCAGCGTTAATGCGGAGACGGAGCTTCAGCTGAGGATT